GCACTGAGAGCACGGGCACACGTGTGGCCTTGCTGCAGAGGCCTGAGGTTAGAGCTCGGGGGAAGACCAAGGGCATCCCTTATTTCTGCTATAGCTGAAGTCCGTTGGTAACAAATTATTGCCATCATTGGATTTGAAAGAGCCCTGAGCTGAAGGATTTCACAATAGATGAAAGCTCTCTAGAGATCAGGTTAGTAAGATACTCCCTTGAAAAGACCGCAGGAATAACATTTGTGTTGTTGCTCAATAATTGGTTGCACTCCATGTTATGTGGCTGAGGAATGGGGAGAGAGCTTTTCTTTGCTTCCTTTATTTCCTTTTTGTTTTTTTTAATGGCTATTTTTCTTCTTCCCAAGAGACTTTGCATTGTTTGGGAGTGGAACATCAGGAGAATAGCTGAGAAGTGAGGGAATTTGACAGCTTAAAGAAGCAGTTAAAGCAAGGAAAAGCAAATAGACAGAACTATTTCCATTTTAAGCATTGTTGGTGTAAAAAGCTTGCAGCTGAGATTCAGAAAGAATGCATGAGCATGAAGTTCTTTGGGCAGCAATAAAAATACTGGGAGAGAATTAATGGAAATGGAAAAGAAGTCAGAAACACTTTGCCTTCGGGCACTCTGCTGGTTCCCATGCAGCCAGTGATGTTCTCTCCTCTTTTGAGCATATGCTTTTGTATGCACGTTGGAGAGTATGTTAAGCAATGAAAGCATGTGAGGATGCAGTTTGTCTGATGCAGCTTGTGTTCAGCTCTGCAGTTCCACCCATGTGGGACCTTTGGGGAGGGGGGTGGGTCGTGTTCTGTGTTGGGCCCTTCTTGTGCTCAGGGGAGGCATGCAGTGTTTGTGCTGGCACGTGTGGTGTCAGTGGGAGCTGCTGGAATCTGATGGAGGAGTTGCAGCCACGCGAGCTGTTTAATTATGTGCACTTCTGGACCATCAGTTGAAGCTCCACTGTTCCTTGCAGGGAGCTGTTGGTGCTGCAGCTGCCACTGCAGTGTTTTGCTCAGCAGTGTGTCTGTAAGTCAACTGGCCTCTGAGCGAGAGGAAAGCAGCGAATCCTTCCAGAGAGCGTTTTGGTGCTGCTGCTTCACAGAAGGCAGGTGCAGGCTGACCTCCTGTCCCCCTGTGCTGCGGTTTGGTGAGAGCCTCCTCACCAAATGCTGCATCATGCTGCTTGCCTTTTGTCAAGGAATGCTAAAGCCTTGTGGAATTTGTTTTCTAATGCCTTCCCTCACTGCAACAGTGAGGACACTGCAAGAAGCAATGGAGGAGAATGTGTAGAATGAAATGACAAGCTGAGACAGAGCTCGTAGCTGATGACCAAAGCTGCCCAGCTGTGGCACATGCTGAATCTGCTGAATGTCCATCCAGCCCTTGGCAGGGGCAGTGCTGCTCTCATCAGACTGTTCCTGGCGCACAAGTCCTCACCAGCTCCGCTCTTGCTCCGTCAGGTAGATGCTTCTCCAGCTTCCATCTTCTTCCTGGCCTTCCTTGGGATGTGAACACCTTCACTGAGCCTTGTGTTCAGAGATCCTCATCCAGTTTTGCTGTTTGAGTACATGAAGCTAAAAGTGCTCAAGTGAACCACAGTAGTAACTGATGTACTGCAGCATTGTCCTCTTCATGATACTATTTTTTTTCTTTCTGGGATTAATTGCTCTGAAGAGTTTGTTCTAAGCTCCTTTGTACAGATTCTTGTTTAGTACCAATTGCATGTACTGGAGATTTTGCAATTCCACGAACGGAAGGTTACATTTACAACAAAGTATTGCATGCCCTCTTTTCTCCCTGTGCTTCATTAGCTTTAGCATAGAGCTGTTGCCTACCTTCAGCTCGCTGAGCAGATGGGGGACACAAGGATGGGGCACACAAGGAGGACATGGATGTCTTTCCTTCGGAATCTCATGCTCCCAGTTTTGCTGACTGTATTTCATCCTTAGTGAACACAGAAAAGAACTGAAAATGGGATGCATGACCCCAGCATAAGACATCACTATGGGGCATTGGTGTCTTGCTGAAATAATGCCGAGGCCAAACCTGAAAGGATAGAAAATGATCTTCAGTCGAGTCTTCAGATAGGAACTAAATTTCACCTTTGCCTTGGCTCCTGAAAGCAGAGCTGGGTGCTTGCAGGTTATCTGGTCACAGTTGTTCTGGTTACCACTCGGTGCAGGATGAGTTTCTTTGTTGGCTGTATAAATGGAAAGTCAGTGTGTTCACACGGTCAGCACGTCTGATAGCTGCACTGCTGGGGGTTCAGCTCAGCACTGCTCAGCATGGAGCTCGCTTTCTCCAGACCTGACAAAGTGAGGCTACTGAAGCAGCCTGGCAGATTGATCCACAGCATTGCAGGGCAGAGCGAGTCGGCAGCCTGGAACAGCCTGCAGGTTTTTTTTAATTCCTTAATCTAAATGGTGCTTTGAGAGCAGTCTGGGTGGTGGTGGAAGAGCTTTGTATTGCTGGTGACTTTTGTTTAAAAAGCACCAGGTGTAGACAAGTCACCAGCAGGATTGCTTTCCCAGGGTGAACCTGTTCTTCATGTGTGCTTGGCATTGTTTGAGCCCTTTCCAAGGGCAGGATCTCCTTGAAAGGCATCCCATCCTAACAGGAACCCGGCCTTTCCTCATTGGGTAGAGTTAAAGTGAGATGCTCGGTTAGTTTCTTGCTGCTCCTATGATGTATCTGCGTGATAAGTGTGGTTTAATTTGCATAGAGGGGGTAGTGCATGGATTCCCCAACCTGAGACAAGTTGAGAGTGTGTGTGAGTGTATGTAAATTGTCAGTAATGGACTGCTTTATGGGGTATTTATTTTACGTGCATGTGTTTATGTTAAATAATGTAAATGGTGGGAGAGCAGAGCGTGGGATAGCTGCACGACCTCTCGAGCAGAAGCCTTCAGAAGGCAGTGTTTGTAGCACTTTCCTGACGCCAGCTCAGTCAACAGTGATTGGAGCTGTGGATGTGAAGCTGAGCAGGAGCTGCTTCGTTGCAGAGTGCTGCTTCCTCCCTGCAGCCCTGCGGGTGAGCAGAGCTCTGTGCTGTACCCCAGCTCTCTTCTCCCCAGCTGTTTGTTTGAAACAAGGATTTGTCTACATGCAAATACGTGCTGGCTCAGTGCACGTCTTCCCTTTCTGCAGAAAATGCGTGTCCTTTTTGAGTGAACAGGGTTACCTTTGCTGCAAGGGTGACTGCTGGAAGTCAGGGTTCCATTCTGTGTCTTTGAGTTTTTTCAGTTGCCCTCAGCCATTTTGTACAGCTCCTGGAGCACAAGGCTTAGAAGTTGTGTGCTATTTTGGTATGCATACACTTGCAATTTTGCTTTTGTCCCCCCTTTCTGGTGCCTTTTTGGTTAACTAAAACTGACATAATTTGAACTAAAGCCTAGTCTGCTTTGGCTGCGTGGCTTTGAAGTAAAACCTTGTGCTAAACCAGAGCAAACAGGGCGATGCTCAAAGCCCATGTGTCCGACTCCATGCACACTGCCTGCTGCTTTGACTGCTTCCTTCATAGCTTTGCAAGTCTTTGTCCTGTAACATGGCTCTCATCTCTTCAAAAAGAAGTTAAAGCAGCTTTGTTGGCCAGCAGCAGCTTCTGCTTGCAATTGTTTTGCTCAGAGCTGAAGTTTTCTTTCCTGATACCAATCTAATTTACCACCAGAACCAGAAATGCTGCAGTGCAGCAAGTGGTATTTGCTTCAAAGCAGCAGATTCATAAACCAGGCTTTGTAGTAACTGTGTTATTTTGTGCCTCTAAGGAAGTGGGCTTGTAATGGTTTGATAACATTTGATGATAGCCCTGCAAACTGGAAATCACAAGACTGAATCTTCAGAGCACAGAAAGCAGCTCTGCTGCTGTCAGAAGCATTCACTGTGGTAGCTGAGCATCTGACCCAAATCCCTCCTTATATTTGTATTGTTGGAGAACATGGCAAATCTAACCTCTGTGCCACAGATGTACAAAATCTGTTTTGTACTTTCCCTGCAATACGTAATGGAGCCAGCTGCCAAGCATTTCAGGCTGATATTAAAGGCTTGGTTTGCGTTGTAGTTCGGTAAGGATAAGTATGCAATATAGCACAGTTCAGAACGTTTTCTGAGTGTTGTGGAAGCACTGACTTCTGAAATGCTGTGTGGAATGGATGGCTATGGAATTTGAGTGCAGGTGAAGTAACTAAATTGCAAAAAAAAGAAAAAAAAGAAAAAAAGAAAATGGTAATTTAGGTTAACTCAGCATACAGTAATAGGTTGGCTTGGATAATTAATTTGGATTTAGAGTTGCTTAATTTCTCTTGGCGTTTGCAAATCCCAGACGGACTCGTGGAATGTTTCTGATTGAAAAAAGATTCTATTGGAAACATGTGTGACTGTGTTTTTGAGGGCAGCAATATCTGAAGAACAATGCAGCATCTGTATATGAATGTCGACAGACAAGAAGTCCTGCTGTAAACATAACTAATGTAATTTTGTGGCATCTTTTGTTAGCATGTCTTTTATTTTAGAACAAGTCATGAGGCTGCAGGGGGGAATAAATCCTGTTCTGTAGAAATCTCTACCTGTTCTAAATGGTATCTAAGGACATTGCACTGACAAAGCTGGACTATAAATCTATTTTTTAGACTAATAGCAGAGTTGTTATTTAGGTGTAGATCTCAGATTCTCAGAACTTCTAAGAACTCCTCAGTGTAAAATAAAATACTGGACAGGGAATCCATTTCTTGTCATTTGTCTTGTCATGTGTTTGCATTAGAAAGCTGTGTTTGGTGAAAGGGCCAGGATTTCTGCAATGGAAGTGTTTTAGAAATGAAAAATGAAGAGCATTACTGATGTCATGTTAAGATGCAGATTTCTGTTGGTGTAAGAACCTGTGCTGCTGAAAAAAATGTCTAACTGTGGTAATGGGAAATATTAATAACAGTATAAAAAGTGATGTGAGCTTTGGAAATTATTTTCAGTTCCTTTGGTTCAATGAGACTGAACTTATTTTTATTGTTATTCCTTGCAGGACCAGTTTGACAATTTAGAAAAACACACGCAGTGGGGTATCGATGTTCTGGAAAAATACATCAAGTTTGTCAAAGAAAGAACAGAGATTGAACTCAGCTATGCAAAGCAGCTTAGGTAAGTTGGCATGCAAAGGTCTGCACTTAGGGTTGCATCTGTTCTGCAGTCCTCTGTAAATTCATGGTGCAGTGGTAGTAATTTGCTCGTTTATAATGGTTGCTCTTAAGTGGAGAATAGTTTTAGTTTAAAGATCTGAAAGCTAAGATTAATTTAACATCATGTTTTTATCTCTGATAAAAAATCATGTGCTTTGTAACAGAGAAGTTATTTGGGTGGCTGAGCAGCATACTAGGCTTACTCGTGATGTACTCATGGGCTTTGGGGGACAGCATTCTAATATTTCCCATGAAACTATGACTGCAAATAAATTCTGAAGAGTTTAAGAATTCAACACCACAATGATAATTTGCTATAGGACTAAGTTTAGGGTTTTTTTCTTTTTTTTTGTATGACAGACTCATAAACAGTGTTAGAGAAACTGCAGGCCCGAAAGTCAGTCTCAACACTTGGAAATTTAGTCTGCATTTGAGTCAGATTGCAGCCTAAGATTTGTAGTTTGACAGTTTTACAGTCTTGCCAAAGTTCTTGCAATGTGTCTGCTGAACAGAGCAGAAATCCTGTGGATTTATCTTGAGCAGCTAAATTACTAGAAGTTCTTGCTGGGTGTTTTTTGGCATGAACTTTGGGTTGTAGGTAAGGATACGAGGATATGTGAACCTGCACCAGAAAACTGGACCAGATCCAGGGAGAATGGAGAAGAAAGGGGATGAAGAACCCTCCCACAGTGGCTAGCTCTTAGCCTGAGAGAAGGAGTGGGGTAATGGTGGGAATGGTGGCTGACTGGTGGGGGGAGCACAGGGCTTCCTGACCCCTGCAGTGCATCCATACCTTTTGTTGTGTGTGATTACGTCCATTCAAACTCCTCCCATCTTCTCAGTATTGATAAAGAATGAGATCTGTGCTTCTGGTTGATCTGTATACACACAAAGCACAATGTCTATTAAAAAAAAAAAAGCCCAGATTTTTTTTTTGATGCTTTTTTTTAGAATGGCTCCTGAGATGAGCAATGGCCTGTTATTTACTAGGGGCTGGTAGTTGATAAAGGCCTGCCTTTATGGTTATGTGTTTTCTCAGGGGAATGCCACAAGGATTCCCCAGGGTAGCTGCTATAGACAAGCAGGAAATTGAAAATGAGTTGTGCAGGAACAAATTGCTCACATCCTATGGAGATGAAGCTGAATTACAAAGGCAAAGTGAGCTGGAAGAAACGTAGTATGAGTAAACCAGGAAAGCCCAGCACAGTATCTGTGTGAGTAAGTCTGTCTTACAGAGAGTGACACCCTTGAACCACTGAATTTCTTGGAATGATGAATTTTAGGTGTAAGAAGCATAATTGCGAAATCAAGTGAATAGACAATATGTTTAAGGAAAATGGGAGATAGTCACAGACAAAGCTAGTCAGAGGCTGTGAACCCCCAAGTTTCATCTCTTATCCTGTCCCAGAATTCCAGAACAAACTTAGTCGTCTTCTTTTTTTTTTTTCCCCCTATGTTTAATTTCGTGCTCATAGTTACATCTGTGCCTTCCCCCATGGGTAAGATTTAAAGACAAATAATACATTCATCCTTGAGGAGCCCTGAAACACAGTGCTGTTTGGAGCCATCTGAGAGTTTGAAGTATAAAGGGAAAAAGGCAAAGCAGACCTGTCAAATGTTGAGATAAAACAGTTCTGGCCATTAAAAATAAAAATAAATCATACATCTGCTTTTAATAAATTTCCCCAAGCCTGTGGCAAACCTTTTGTGTGTCTCATTGGTTTAGTGTAAAAGGGCTGCAGTGGAGGGTTCACTTATTGCTGCATTTTGTTTTGAACTTCAGCTGGATATGGACACGTGGGGCATTGCTGCCAGTGACAAAATGGTGCTCCCTTGTCCTCCTTATCTAGCTGCCTACTGCACACAAACTGAGCTTCAGAAAGTGCCAAAAGTCTAATGTGAAGATGGATAGATAGCTTTGAGGAGGACAGATTCAAAGAAAAATGCCTTACGTGTCAGGATGCTTTGGGAATTGAGAACCTCTGATGTATGATAGATGTGGGAGGAAGAACAAGATGTCAAAGAAGTGGAGGTAAGGAAACAAAGAAGCAAGCTGGAAGGGCAGAAGAGTGATGCTGAATGAAAGGCAAACAAATGTGAATCACAGGCAGGTGCACAGGCTAGCACAGACTTTTCTGAATTGCTATTTTATTGCTGATCTGTCCTCTTATGTCTTAGTTACTTCTTTAATCACAGTTAGATGTGAAGGTCATTGCTTTATGAGCTTGAACCTGAGAAGTACCAATATTGTGGCCGTGACACTGTAGAACTGCATGCTGAACTTCAGCATGTGAGAGTCATACTGGCTCTTAATGGATTCAGTATCACTTCTGGATTCAGTATCACTTCTGTTTTTTTGTGTGTATCCTGGTTAAAGCCTTGCATGCTATTTTGATGGGGGAAAAAAAGCAGAGGAAAAACATAATTAAATCAAAATAAATAGAGCACCTGTTTTCTGAGTGCATTACAAAGTACACAGAAACCAATTAGATGTTTAACCGAGTTGCTAATCCTTACTATATTTTCTAAATTCTTTTCCTGTGAAAGCACATACTTCCTGCTGGTCTTTACCCCAGCCCAGCAGCATTTCTGTACCTTCAGAAGCTCAGAAGACAGTAGTTTGTACATCAGAATTAACTGGGTGGCACAATACTGAATGAAGGGAGGCATGCATTTTGTATGTGTGAAAATACCTTATCGTGCAGTCTTCAATGTGTTTCCTTGTTTTTCACTTTCCTCTTTAAGCAGATTTATGCAGGCCTTTCTGTGCTGCATACAGTATTTGTAAGACTTACTGTAACCTCGCAGAACAGTTTGCACAATACTTGCTGTGCTGATATTTAATTGAAACTGCTGTACACAGAACTAGAGAAAAGCTCCTTGTTCCAAAGCATCCTCTTCTCAGAGAAGGCACAGGCTGGAATGGAGATACTTATTTGGGGGCCTCCCAGGAGGAGTAATTATATTTTGAGGAACACATGTCTGTGCAAGTCTGACAGCTTTCTGGCTATTGCTCTGTTTGGGCAGATGCTGCTTAATTCCACAGGGGAAAAAAACATGAGTAAGAAATGTGAGGCAAGAGGACCTCCTGTTTCCCAGATAGCAGTAAAAACAGCATGCAATAGGGATTGGGTTACATCCCTGAAAAAGCAGGGTTAGTAGTGGTGTGTGTTGTTTTGTTTTTCAATGAGATGCACTCTGGGAGTTCTCCAAAGAGTTTGCCATATATAGGCCAGTGACATTTCATAGTCCCTCTGAAAATGATTCCATCAATACCACTTGAGTGTCATTTGGAATCAGTAAAAACAACTTGTAAAGTTAAAACAAATGGTTCCTATTTCACTGAGAGGTAACAGAGGCTGCAGGAAGACAGAAAGGACAGAGGCTGAGTTCAGAGTGCAGGAGATCCCAATGCTACAGCTCTGAAAAGATCTTAACTGCTGGGTAAGATTTGTCAGCTCTCAGGTTTGCATTGTTTAAAACAGGTGTGGAGTTATATTTGCTGTAGTCCAAGTATGCCTTGTAATTCTGAGCTTTAAGCATCAGCAGGATGTGCTGAATGATGAGCAGACAGTACACATCCTTTAAAGCCTAGATTTGCTGCTGATTGGGGGCTCACATTTAACTTCTAGAAAATGAAAGCTATGTTGTAAGGCAGATGTGCTAACTGAGTTATGTTCAACTTCTTTATTCAAGATACAATCACTGGAAAAGCATATCAGTATTTTAAAATGGAATCATTAGTTGGATATGTAGTGATGAGATGCAATCATCTCTGCTAATTGGGATAATCAAATTTCATATTTCTGCCAGCCATGAGTTAATGATCACAAAATGATCCCCATTTTATAATCCTGGTGCAGCTTCTCACAGCTTTCCTAAGATTGCTTCTCTTCCTTGGAAGCATCCTGCAGGAGATGAGCAGACTTGCTTTGTCACGAGTGTCACCTGCAGGAAATGGCACCTTACTGAGCTGGCTGCTTTGGGTATGGAATAGCACCTTCTGCTGGGTGCACTTACAGCTTGTCTAAGGATCAGTGAGAGGACTGTAAAGTGAGTGGGACTCGTGTTTCAGCAGAGCTGGAGCTCGGATGCGTTGACTTCCTGACTTGAGTTTATGCACTTCTCAGGTCCTGAACTTATTGCAGTTACTCAAACTGAAGCACAGACATGGATGGGCCCTGCAGGTACTGCTGCAATACAGCCACACTTCTGGCAGGGCAGATAGCTGGTGAATGCAAACCAAAACTGAAGCATTTGTGTGTGCATGTGAGTACTATCCACTTAGCTTGAAGGGGATTTTTAATTGTATTTGTTTTTAATTTTAGGAATCTTTCAAAGAAATATCAACCCAAAAAGAACTCCAAAGAGGAGGAAGAGTACAGGTGAGTTCATGAGGTACTGCTAGGTGGGCATGCGTGATAGAGGAAGGGGAAGGATCTGTCACCTGCTGGGATTTGCCTAGTCAAGCAGTGCAACACAAAGGTGGTTCCTGTTATTAAGGAGTGGAGTTTTAAGGAAGTTTGGATTTGCCCAGTAACTGTTCAATTCCCTTTAAATGTTCTGGGTACTGTCTTTTATTTTTTTTTTCTATGTACCTTAAAATCTTCAAGGCAGACTATTCAATCCTGCTTCTTTGAAGTGAATGACCAAACTCTGATTAGCTCCAGCAGCAACAGAAGCCACTGTTAATTTTAGCATGAAATTTGGGCAGCCTGTGCAAGTATTAAATTACTCAAATGACTGACAAGGCAGATTAGTATATTACTTAAAGGATCATATAATAACACCACAAGAGAAGTCGGTGGCTCTTGAAGGGTGGGAGGTGCAGTTTGTACAGGCAGCATCCTGGAATGGAGGGACACATGACTGGCAGCCACTGAAGGATGCTGCATCACCCAGCTACCTGCTTCTGATTCAGATTGTGTCTCTCTGGTGGCCAGGGACTGACGTAGCATTTGCAGAGAGCAACTGCAGTGTCAAAGCACAGCTCCTTTGCTCTGTGACACTAGAAATGCATATGGATGATAGTAAACCGTGCCATGAAAAACATTCCTTCCCTTGATCAAAGTTATTCTGTAAAGAGAACTTGCTCGAAGAGAAGCTTTCCAATGGATGGGCTGCATGTCAGAGTTGAAACCTTTTCCTTAGAGCACTCTGACTTTTTCTAAAATTACTCCACTTCAGTGTTTTGTAATTCATCAGCTCTGCATGGAGGCACCATAGAACATTCTGACCCTGCAGCACTTTACTGCAGGAGGCTGATCTGCTTTCTTAGAGTCTAGCAGCAGACTTGAACCCTTGACCTTGAAATCTGAAGCATTTCACGTGAGTTTGGATTCAAGTCCAACTCTTTGGAAATACTGATTTAGATTTTTGGGTCAGGACCCCTTCCCACCTGCTGTGTACAGCTACTCAAGTCATTCATATTAACCAACACAACGGCCTCTTCATTTTGCTTTTAATTTATTTTTAGTAACATTGTGTGGGAATCAGTTATTGATGCTGTTGTTTCCTAAAACACTGATATTTACACAAGGAAGCTCATATTACCAGCACAATGGCTGTTTTTATTTGTACTTGGGATTAGGAAGAAATGTGCCTTTGGATAGCTGTACCATAAGTGGTATCCATTTTGATACCATTCACTCAATAATTTTGAGTTTACTAGTAGGTTTTGTGGTTTTTTGTTTGTGTTTTTTTTTAACACATCTTCATCTGCTGTAAATAGTGCAGCTAAATGACTCACGTGATGCAACATAGAAGATTCTGTGCATCCCTTGACCTTTTAAATGGGGTGTTCACCTCAGCATACTTCCCCTGTGTCTCTAAATAACATCTGGGGGTTTGTCATGCAGCCTTTGGGTGCCTTGGATGCTGCATTCAAATAGTCTAAAATCCTGTTTTCAAGCTTACTGTCAGTTTAAAGTTCTGTTTTTGATCCCCTATCTTACACAACTGGGATGTCCCTTGAGGCACCACAGCTTGGCTGTGAATGTAGCTGCTTAAATTGGTTTGGGTTTCTTTTCTTAGGTATCTTTTCCTGTTTTTTCTTTTTTCTGATGCCTTTCATCCCCAGTCATACTATTCCTCTTTGTCCTCTAAACCTCTCCCCTTTTTCTTTGGATCTTCACCTAAAGATGTTTTTATTGCAGGTGACTACTATTAATATTAATAGTTTTGCTAATATGTACAAGTGCAGTGCTTCAGAGCAGCTGTCTTCCAGCTGACCAGCACAAGCAGGGGAATTTAAATGCAGCTCTGTTGGCTCACTGCTGAATAGGCCAGTGACATAATCTGCTGTTTTTGAAACTTTGTGCACAGATGTTCGTTTCTCCCTTTAAATAACAGATGAAATGTTGTGCTGGAGATTATCAAATACAAAAAAATAAACCTTGCAATGGAAGGTTTAAATATAAAATGTACGGGTTTATGGTGAACATGTGGTCAGTGAACTCACTATCTTTCTGAAAAGCTTGTAAATTAGAGCTGATCTACATCCAGTTGGCACTTGGAAAAGTTCTCTTTTCTGTGCTATGCTACCAAAGGCTGGTTGTTTAGGTTGGATTTTGCCAGGTAGGATACATTGGTGACTCTGTGCTGCGGAGTGCAGGGCTTGAAAGAGTGTAACTCAAAAATGGTGAGTAAAGATTAGTGTAGTGTAGTGAAGTCCCGGAGCTGTGCTGATCAAACATCTGACACTCTGAAAGTGCTGTATTTTAAGAGCTGATGTCAACTGTCTACATCAAGATTAATTTATCAGACAACTGTCAGTGTTTGGGGTAGGCTTTCTTTTGAAAAATTCTTTCATGTGAAACTGTGCTAATCTGTATTTAGTCTCATGCAGCAATTGTAGATGTTTAAGAAGGATTCAACCTCCCTTTTCAGTCTGGAAAGAAAGGGACTAAAAGCAAAATGCATTTTTGTCCTCTGCAGGTACACATCAACTAGAGCCTTCCTAGCCACTTTAAATGAAATGAATGACTATGCCGGACAGCATGAGGTCATTTCAGAGAACATGACCTCTCTTATCATTGGAGAGTTAACTCGCTATGTGCAGGAGCTGAAACAAGAGAGGAAATCGGTAATTGAATGTTTTTTATTATTCACAATTGCTTGCTACGTAAGACAGATAATTAGTGGTAGTGGAGTTCAACATTAAGCAAAATTAATCTGCAGTTAATAAGCTTCATTAATGAACCAGGCATTAAAAAAGTGGGTTATGTGCCCTGGCCAAATCGCTGAACCATTTGAATGATATGTTATAAAATCAGACAGCTACGCCTTCAGGAGAATGCCTGCTAAATAAGGTCAGAGACCCATCTGTGCTTAAGGCTCTGCTAGCCAAAAGCTTGCGTAGGGAAGAGTCCAGCAGCACCATGTGAAGCATGAAATAAACAGAGAAGCTGTATTACTAAACCGATTGAGACAATTAATAGGAAGTTGATTCACGTTTTCTTGCTTCTCAACCAGATCTGATCAACCAAACTTTCTTAAAAACAGACTTCTAATGGGAACGACAGGATCTGCTTTGTTTTGGTGGTAGTGAGGAATCTTTCTCTTTCAACCAGTCACTTTCTAGACTGCTAAGATTAGGAGTTTGTTAGTACTTTATTTTAAATAGTAGTTTATGAACCTGTGTGCCTGCCACTATGAGTGTTTAAAGCTGATTCATTTGCACATCACTAAATGCCTTTCATAGTTAGTTGAGATGTGATGGGCTTTTTCCCCTGCCTTGAATTCCTATCCTTGGAATGGGCATAAAGTGCTGCTTGTAAGCATTATTGTTAAAAATACTTGTAAACCAGATATAAAATAGCTAAGCAAAGTTCAGCAGGCAAGGGAGCATCGGACCACATCTCTCATTTCCATACAATAGCCAAACTATTGGAAAGTGAGAAGTACTCTTGCTGGTCCAGTGAAAACGTAAACGTTTATAAATAGCCCCAGTAAACATTAATAATACACTGAAGTGCTTTGCAAGACTCCAGTCTGAAAATGTCCATATTTTCCCAAGTTTAGTATGAGAATGTCTGCGATGGAATATAAACCATTATACCTTTCATTTGCAGAATGGTGTGTAGTCTTTCAGGAGCATATTTGGCCAGCAGCATGGAAGTATGTTTTGCATATAGCTGGGATAGGAGAGTGACCTCAGCCATTTCTGTGACCTTTTGTTCTGTGTGAACTCTGTACAATATGCAAAGCCACAAAAGAGAAAACAATCTGTATGGCATTTGCCTGTCACTTCTAATTTTGTTACCTGATTTTTAAATTACAAGGATTTATAAAGTGATTGGGATACCTATTAGATGTTTAAAATGGAATTATGAGGGGCTTGGTATCTTGTAAAGAATGCAAGCACTAACTGTATTGCTTGTTTGTTTTATTTGTAGAGCTTTATTGTAAGTTTGGCTCACAGTATTATTTTAATATCAGTCCAGCAATGCACCATAGGAACAGTAAAAAGGATCTGATGGTCTGTTTACCTGCTGCTGGTGATAAGTCAGCTTTTAGCAGAAGGCAGCTGTCTGTCATGGTTGCTTGTTTTGCTCTTGTAACATGAGTATAAACTGTGTGAATTATGAATCCTTGTCTGATTCCTTTGGACTTTATCATTTGCGAACAAATGGTGTTGAAAAGGAAATTGCTTCTCCCTTCAGGCATATTTCATATCGTAAAACACAAATGCATCAATCACACTCGGATCTGCACGGCGATTGTTGTGGAAATATCACAGGTCTGATGCTCTGGCAAAACCTCATGAGATACGAATTGATGATTAGCCTGGAGTTTGTAGAAATGTTGCTGGCAGAGCTCTCATGCTCACTGTTATCAGCTCACTGTAATCAGCTGTTGTGTAGAAGCTGCTGTAAGTAAAAGGTGATCCTTCCTGAGGTTAGGACCACAGAGGAATTGGGAGACTCATATTCTTCTTCAGTCTTGTATCATTTGGATTGAGTATTCAAGTGTCTAAATACCTGTAAAAAAAAAAAAAAAAAAAAGCAATGTCAATCACAAGTTCAGTCTTATTTTGTTGTGCATTCTTCTTCCATAGGATAGTCCCCACTGATGTTAGCCCTGCATCAGGCTTGTGTTTTGTCCCTGCAGTCTCTGGAGTTAAGCATCCACCCTGCCTCCTCTTTACCTACGTTGTCTGTACGTAAGATGGAGAACTCCCTGCGCTGTTTCAGTTCTTCCCTGCTCTCCGGTGAAGTGAAACTCTTAGAAGTACAGTTCCTCACTTTCACTTCTTTCTGGAGTCTCTTGATCTTAGACAACACGTGCTATTGTGTCGTCTTCAGCAAGGATCTTATTGCCTGTTTTCAAGCTGGAATGTCGGTTCCAGGCTTCTCAAGAGAGATAACTTGGGTATTTTCTCAGCTCTGGCTAAGGAAGACCCTCAATGCTGTAATGTCTCTGGATAGAAACTCATACATTAATTTCTGGGACAGTTCTGAACTCTGCTTGCAAGCCTGGGTCTGACTCAGTCCTTTCTGGCAGCATCTGCTCTCTGTCTCTAGTAGCCACTGCTCTCACATCAGCTTTGCTAAAAATGTATTTGGGAGTCATGAACTATCCCTCTTGTTACTGCTTCTGCTTTCACCTCTGCCTCCACCTCCCCTCGGGCATCGGCTGGCTCCATGCAATTGAGCCTGAAAGTAAAGTGCAAGCCAGCAGGTCTGCTGCAGACTGAACTGGTGCAGCACTGGGACCCTGTGGTTGGGAGAGAATTTACCCGGTGTCAATACGTTCCATTTTGTGTTAGGATAGAAGCAGAGCAGGGAATGAATGCATCCTTATGGATACTGCAGGGGTAAAAATGGTCTGGTTCTTCATAGTGGAGCATATGCACCCTCCCTGTGTGCATTCATACTGGGGGTGTACGTGTCAGAGAGCTTTCTGTTTCTTGTAGACTCTCAGGTGTTGATGAAAAGTAAATAATTGGAGGAATTCTGCAGCATTCATTCATTCTGAATAGTGCCCTGTTCTGCTAATAGACCTGTGGTTTTCAGCAGGATTTCTCATGGAGTGTTGCACTGTGCAAGCATGAAACATGATGGCAGAATACAGCCCTGTCATGTGCACAATAGATTTTCCAATCTGAGCTATGGATGTGCTTTAGGCCTTTGTATGGAACACAACTGCATTTTGTGCTGCAGAGATACAGAGAAATGTTGCTGTCTTCCAGAAATTACAAACTCAATAGACAAAGACTGTAGGATGAGGAGAAGACGTGTTGAAAGGAAATGCTTTGCCATGCTTCAAACTTTGGGTTGATTGCATTCAAATTGAGCTTTCCCCAGCTTTTGTTCTGTTACCACTTGCAGTTTATGGCCCAAATGAATGGAGGTAGAGGTATTTAATTCAAATAGAGAATCTAAATTAGGAATGAATAGGAAGTTATGTTGCCAGGTTGAAGCTTGTAGAAACTGTTGATGACCAGAAGGAAAACTTTGGACACTGTGGGAGATTCTGAGAAGGTACCCAGCTTTGCAGTGTGACCTCAGCAAGCGTAAGGGTGTGACAATGGACACCATACCTGCAAGTTACTCTAGACATTATTGTTGGTGTCTTCTAGCTTTATGCTCCTTAGTGTCCCTGTTCACACTTCCAGGTGGGCATGATCAGCTCGTTCTGTTTGTCTGGTGCAGCTAATGTAGTCTTTGGAGCCTGAGAAACATGAGTCTTGGTCGTCTGTGACTCACTGGCCTGCACCACTCCAGGAGACAACTGAATTAACATCAGCTTTGTTTAGATTCAGACTTGTTTCAGCAGAGTTGCATGCTGAGGTGAATAATCTTCATTCTGAAGACTGCACAGGCTGTGTCACAATACTAAGAAGAAGCTGTGATGGACGTGCAAAGATAGGTGTGTGTTTCATGTCACCATTCACAGGACTGTCTCATACTGCGTTATCACCAATGAGAATGGCAGGACCTTAAGACCATGTTGTTATTCTTGGGAACAACGAATTCTCAAGAGGCTATTTCCTATCTCTGCTGTCAGGGAAGGAAAAGCATTTGTCAAGGTTTTCTGCGAATTAAGCTGGGAAAATGGAGGAAAAAATAATGTTCTCTGACTTCCGTCTCATCGATGCTTTTGTCACTGGTCATTATTTTAAGTATCATTTGTGACAAAAGCGTAGATAGTTTGATAGAGGTCAGGAAGTACTGCATTGGTGGGACTGACTTTATATTGTCCATTCTTATGAGCTGAGGATGCCTGTTACAAAAAGTCAAAGGTAACTGGTTTCTGCACATGTAATCTAGTTTGAACATGGAAAACAGAAGGGAAAATGAAATGGCCTTGTACTATATCATCTCTCTTCAATTCTTGAGCAGGATGTTGGCAGATGAACAGTGTGCTCTCTGTATAAACGAACTAGAATAGTTTTTCTGACTGTATTGTGTATAATATATATATTTTTCTCATCTTTATAATTTAAGCAAATGATAATGTGCAGGTCTTAAATCTAACCGTGCAGTCAACCTAAGAAAAACGAAGCTTAAATTTTTAAATTTTTTTTAAGCCTTTCATAAGTCAGTTATTCCCTGTGGTTGGGTTTTGGTCCAGCACCATCAGCCCTGCTGTCACACTGGTGTTCTGAGTTGCTGAGGCAATCCTTTCATTTAACACTGCCCAGGAGCTCTTCAGCAAAATCGCTGCATTGCGTGGTTCTGTGTGAGACACTTGTAAGTACATCTTGCTTTTCTTGGAACGCTCTCAAAGGGTCTCTCAAAGAAAGTAGATAAGTCATCTTCTACCAAGCTTTTCTTGTCTGCTCCGTGAGTCTGTGGCTCTATCAGCCCTTGTGGGTACCAAGAAAACTTGGCAAACATCTCCCCCTGCTCCTGCTTGTAGTGGTGTTGGCAGTAACAGGCGTTCTATTGTAGGTGACTTGCTAGCTGCTCCCAGGGCTTTCATCAGCATGGCTGAAATCTGAGCCTAACAAAAGTCAATGAGTGTTTTGTCCTGATTGCGCAGCAGCTGGGATTTCTCCACAGCTGTTACAAATACAGCATGGTGACAAGGAGAGCGCACCGACTGGTATGGCTTGCTTTAGAAATGAAATGCTTGGCATACAGTTTGTTGCCTGGATTTCCTGCTCATCCTTTACTATACTGCAGCAAAATTTTCCTTCAGCTGGGATCCTTCAGAGTGTCTGTATGTGGATGGAGGCACCTGGCAGTGGGTGGCCATTGCTCAGAGCACCCTCAGCATCCTGAGGACACTGAGCTTCAGTGCATAAGGAAAAAGGACAGCTGTGGTCACACAGCCAGCGTGGCTTGGGCTTTGCTGCTGTGTTTTAAGCTATTTAGTAGGTCTAATACTTGGATAAAGTAGTTTTCAGCAAAATCTCAAAGTTGGCATGGTGATTGCTAGCGTAAGTCTCTTAAGTGTAGATTAAAAGGTGGTTTGGGGAGATAAAGTAATGAACGCTATCAAAAACAAACCTTTCACTGTGTTTTTTTATTAATAGTTGACGTGCTTGCAGCTCTTTGTCTTATAGCCTTCTTGTTGTTACATTGCTCCCTCGATTTTCTTCTGTGCAGCTTTTGTAACCTGTTGTACCACTGATTTTATTTAACCTGCCTTACAGATGTTTGTTTTTTTTTTTAATCCAGAACTGCTTTTTCATGTGCATTTCCAATGCTGTGGATGTAGAAAGGAGTCTGGAGAAAACTGCAGCACTGAAACAACCAGCACCACTGTTGGAAATGCCTGAGTGGCTGCTTGGAGTGTGATTCATTACCTTGGTATCTCGCTTGTGATCTGAAAGGCTTTAAATGGAAAGCCTGATTAGGGTGTATCAGTTTGGCTGTTCAATTTGGAGGAGGAAAGAAGTCTGTATTATATCAACTATTCTAAATTGATTACTGTAATGTGCATGACTAACTGGGATGGTAGTTTTCCATACCATTTGCTGAATCATTCGTTGAGTTCCTGTTTGCTCAATCACCATGTATAGAATAACCAATTATTATTTCATTTAATTAGGAAAGAAAGAAAAAAAAATCTTTAAATCGTGCATCTTGAAACCGTATCAAGAAGGAAATGATCTTTATTTTTACTAAATTAAAAAATAAAAAGAAGCCCAAACAGCTGAAAGGCATTTGCTGCATCAGAAGATTTTGAAGTATGTAAAAGGAAATGGGATTGTGGAAGTTGAAGATAGTGAGGGGTTTGAGGAAGCTGCACGCTTCCTGTATGAGTCCGAGCACATCACTGAACTGTGGTCTCAGGCTCTTTTAACCATGAAATTGGGACAGTCACAAAAAGGCAGGTAGCTGAAAGGGCATCAGTGCTATCACTGCATCTAAAAGTGATTTTTTGGGGATGCAGAAATGATTTGCAAAAGCAGAAGCGCTCTGAATACATGGTGCATTCTTCATCGTGTGCTGCTCTCTCCCCCCAGCAAGGATGTATGGGTGTCAACACAATGAGAACTGAGAGTTATGAATAGTTTTAGATAACAGTTGAACTTAGGAAAACAAACAGACTGTTCAAGTGGAATTTCCAAAACATGGTTCACCTGCGTACGTCAGGCTGTCACTGGTTGCACTATTTAATAATCCTCAGAAAAGCCCATTTTATACCCCATTCCTGTAGAAGGACATCTCAAAAATGCAGCAGAATGTGAACAGCATGCAGCCTTCCTGCTCGGAGTGTGTACTTGGGCCAGTTTGTAGCTAATTCCCTAAGACAAAGCGGGAAAGAAGACGGATGGCTCCTGCAAAAATGAAAATTACGCTGCTGATTAACAACAAAGGAGTTTAAAAATAGGAGCTGAAGGCAGTTTTGTTATTTGATATGCTCTTAATTTCAAGTTCATCCTTCAGCCCTCGCATGCAGCTGTGTTGTGTTCAGTAACGGGGTGTGTTCTTCCCAGAGGCTCGTTGGCAGTGCTGGGCTCCAAGCAGCACGGCTGTTCTCTGATCCAGTCCCTTCAGACCAGCAAAGTCAGAGGTGGAGGAGAGGGAAGCACACAGGAGGGGCCGAGGGAGGCGGCAGGCAGGAAGTGCAGTGTGGAGACAGCCAAGCTGGTGTTATTTGTTTTGCTTTGCTGTTCAGGATTTCCACATATTCCATGCTTATCAGCAGAATGTTTAAAAATGTGGCGTTAAATTGCAGTTGTTCCTTGGGATGGTTTTCTTAAGCTCTTAATTACAAAAGCAAGCCTGAAATTGTGAACGTTTCAAATCCTCCTAGCAAGGAAGATACAGCACAGGGTCTCACACAGCATTTAAAGGAAATGGGAATCTGCAAAAGGAACCGAAATCTGCTTGGAATCTTCCCCCACCGCCCAGCAGTTTCACAGTTGTGTTTGTGATTAAATGTCACAGTGCAGTGACTGAGCTTTGGAGAAGCATAGCATGGTTTGAACTCCCAGGTATTGTCAGAGCTGATGACAAATGGGGCTGGAAATCACTTGTCTGCACTTCCCTCGGCCCCACTGCTGTATGTTGGCTGCTCACGGAAGGTGGGACTGTGGTGGTTGATCTGAGTGCTGCTGTGCCCACAGTTAAAGCATCACTGACACTGTGCCTCTCTCCTCTGCTTCAAGAATGGTTGTGTAGAGGCGGACACCATCCAGAATGTGGAAACTGTTGTGTCCCGTTGTTCATCTCACAGCTACACGCAGCTCAGTGTGTAGCAGTGGGGATTGCACCTAACACTGTCTGGAGTGCTTGGGGCCGTGCACTGCTTGTCCTTTCTTGCAGACACATGGAGGCTTATTATGATTTTAAGACAGTGGAAGTCTATTGGACATGGTGTGAGAGAATTGCAGTTCTGTGGCTTTTTACTTCTCTTGCATTCGGGCTGGCTTGTCTGGTGGAGGCTGAAAGGCAGTGGGGAGGCATTGCTAGAATGATTTACTCCAGAAATCTGCTGCTGTGACAAAGGGAACAACCTGCTGCTGCAGCGGGAAGTGCACAAAGTCCATCATGGCCAGTTGGGAAGAGACTGCCTGCAAGCACTTCATAACTGTACTGGTTTGTGGGAGGCTTCTGTTCTGAACTTGGGGGTTCTCTAACCTGACAATGTTGATGTCATGTCACCTGAGATGCATTTAGCATCTGATTCTGAACATGCCAGACAATGCGTGCCTGTTGCAGGGATTAATTAGCAATATCAGACCTTTATTGCTGAAGTTTACTCTATAAGACCATGTCTGTGTTTGAGTAAAGCATCCTATTTGTTAGTAAATAACGCAGTGGGTAGGCATCTCTCGTGCTATTATAGATTGCTATTTATTTTGCAAGGTGGTTTGTAAGGAGAGCAGCCTGTTGTAACAGTTGGCTGGGTACTGCATTCATATTCCTGGTCCCTATTTACAACTGTCATTGATTTATGCAGTGATCTTTGACAAATTGCTTACCCTGAGGACAGGCGAGGTGTGTGGAGGATGAAGGGAGGAGTATCTAAAGCATATTAGGTTCTCTGATGAAGACCATTGTGTAAGAGCTAAGAACTGCAATTTAAACTGACTGTAATTAATATAATTATGAGCCTTGCTCTAAAAGGCGTGTCAGGATAAGTTCCTTGTCACTCATTTCAGAGCTTCTCTAACACCATGGTGTGCACACAGTGTATGGGAGACAATGGTTGCTGGGGGACCCAAAGCATTGAATATCTCTAGAGAAATCAAGAGTTGGATTTACGAATGCCCAGGGATTAGGAAGAAGAGGTTTTCTGTTGAGTCTGAATGGAAGTCAGAGCCAATACCAGTTGTTAGAATGTGCTAATCAGGGGCATCTTGGTAAATTCCACGCAGAGAGAAATTTTATTGTAGGGTTAATGTACAGTCAGTAACCAGAGAGATCACATTCACCTAAAAGTGCTTCAGATTTCACAGTATGAGAAACCAATAATTACGAGATACAGTGAATAATGCAAGGTAGAATTGCTAAAAGGATTAATTGGATTTAAACTAACTAACCACTATAATAAATGCAAATACACATCTGCAGCCTGCTGAGACATCAGATAGTCATCATACACCTGCTCAATTTACCAGGGTTGCAGAACACAACTGTCAGAATAATTTGTTTTATTCTGGAAAATTATATTCTGTTCTTCATTGCTGGTAAGGAGGCCCTTGAACATAATTGGCAATTTGGTCCTTTGTTGTTCAGAATGTTTCCTTTTCTCTTTTTCCAAACAGCACTTCCACGATGGCAGAAAGGCACAACAACATATTGAAACTTGCTGGAAACAACTTGAAGCTGTAAGTGGAAATTTCCTCAGATGTGATTTTTAAGTCATTTCTATACTGTTTTTGCAGAGTGTTTCAGAGTTCATATTTAGAAAACAAAGGGTATATGGATAAAAGCTGGAAAATGTGATCTTTTACAACTTCACTGCCTAAAATACAGTGGTAGGCATGGCGGTTTGTTTAAAGAGTACATTTGGCTTTCCATGGGGTCTGTGTATCACAAGTAGCATTTCGCTGTATCTGACTTGAAAAGCGTGCTAAGCGTTAATCAAAGTGCAGCGTCCCTGAGGATGCTTTTCAGATACTCCTCTGTAAGCTGAATAGCTCCATCCTGCATGCATAAATCAAATGCTATCATCTCCTGAGTAAAGGGCTGTTTCTCAGAAGTAAATGCACTGGTTTGGACTTCAGCATTCATTATGAACTGGTGAGAAACTGTAGGTGGAGAAGATGAGGAAAGGGGACATTGGTAACTAAAAGCCTTGCTTGCAAATGAATGCACCTTAGAAACTCTCTTGTGTATTTTAAAAATGAGAGACTTAAGTGTTGGAAGGAAGTGATTTGGTAAACCAGAGCAGAAGAAACACTGATAGGGAAAGATACTGAAATAGCAGAGATGTTATGAATGAAGATGTTATGGAATGAAGCAGTCTGAAGAATGGAACAAAAAATGTGGTTTTTTTTATTTTAACATGGAAATGTGTTGAAATGCATTCCAATATAAACAAGTTAGTCATAGAATCTCCTCAATTGTTACAGCAGATACTTTAGGGATCGATGATTATTTTAAGTGGATTTTGAAATTGTGTTTCTTTGCTATGATGAAAAATCCTGTTTTTCCTTATAGAGTAAAAGGCGGTTTGAACGTGACTGCAAAGAAGCTGATCGAGCACAGCAATATTTTGAGAAAATGGATGCTGATATCAATGTTACAAAAGCAGATGTTGAGAAGGTAAGCCAGAGGGTAGAGAAACTGTCTGTGAAAATTGTTGTGATGGGTTTAATTCCTCAGTCCTGCTGGTAGTATAAACCTTCTGAGGCTGAATGCCTATGTCCATAGGTTAATTAAAATACAGAGATCTCCCCCAGCTGCTTGTATCTGCATACAAATTATAAATGCAAGCAAATTTCTTCAGTAAGATGGTATCAGAATTTAACATAGCTGATGTGGCTCTGAATACATTTATGCAAAATTGGTTTTAGCTAACACCCCAGAGTTTTTAACAGTCAGGCATGTGAGTGCTCCCTGCACATGCGTGCTTGTCAGTTGCTGTGTGATCCTGGTAGAATTCATCTTCTTTCCTTGCTGAGCAGCACTTCAAAATGTCCTGGTGTCATCGACTGCAGTGATGTAGTACCAGGACTGTTGGTTGTGGTCCTCATTTACAACAGGACACCTTTTTGGTGTTGCACATATGCTCAAACAGTGCAGAAATGCAGACGAGAAAGACAGTGATGTGTAAAGGTAGTCTTGTCTTCACTGAAAAGTTTGGTTCACAAGATACAAGATAGAATATTGAACATGTTTCTTTCTTTAAAAAAAAAAAAGCTGAAATTTATTTGTATCAAACATTTTGCTGCAAGAATGGGAAATGAAATTAAACTGCAGGCAAAAAAAAAAATTGCAGATTTTGCTCTTCAAGAAGTCTGCTTCCATTCTGTCATCAGTGCATTCAGTCTTAGGAAGCTATCAAATGCACCCATGGGATCTTAAAAGGTTTCTAGTATGCTGAGCATCATGGAAGTTGAGCAGCATCAGGGTTGCTATTGGAAAGAAGCTCAGGAAATCTCCTAAAGTGTTACTGAACATCAAAAGGAACAAACAGCTATGTGGTCTTGTCATTTGCTGCTTGGCTGTTGGTTGAAAACTCACCCTTCAGATCTGATTATCTGTCACCTTCTGGATTTGCCAGGGCACTCTATGGGTGAATGTGTGTAGGGGGTTTTCAGAGATGTAAGGCCACGTGCAGGTTTTTCCTGACAGAGAAGGATCATCTCTGCTTTATCTGTATAAAGTGATTCTAAAATACGTTATTTGACAGATAAAATTAGGACTTACCCTAGATTTTTTTCTAAGCTGAGGTCATGTTAAAGGAACACAGAGACATGACTTCCACTGTAGGGGCAAGTAGGGGGCTGAAATTCCTTAGTTCTACCTTCAATGCGAGCCTTTTCTCATCAGAGTGAAAGGTAAGACTGGTAAATTCTAGGAAGCAGTCCTTACCTTGGTGCTCTTTCTCTGTAAAGTGGAGCAGAGGGACTTCCCTTCTCAATTTCTCTGTTTTTTGGTTGTTTTTATAGTGTGTGTTTGTAAATTACTTATTGCAAAATGAAGCTGAGCAGCATCTTGAAAGGCAGAAAAAATCTGTAGCAGCGATGTGTGTTGGCTGATCTCTGGAGAAGGCATTAGTTGGCTCTGCAGTCAGCCCGTGGAGTAGATGGAGAAGGAAAAGGTTATCAAAACGAGTGGAATGTGAAATAATATTACTGAACAGAGAGAACAGTGTTTTCCAAGTGCATGTGTTAAACTGGGTTCATCCATGCCAGGCTGTGAATAATGCCCTTTCTTTGCTGCTCTCCACCCACGTGACAGGGCTCTGCCTTACGTAAGTCCCCCGAAAAATAAGATATTGTTCCCCTGGAGCCGCTGCCAGGGCTGCGCGCGGGACTCGCTCCAGGGAGATGCAGAGACTGCTGGTTTCCAATGAAGCAGTGTGATGACTTTTTCCTCCTCCTATTGCAGCGGTTTTGATTTCTCTTGCCCCTCACAGCTTGGCTGCTGCAGTCTTGTTCCTGAGAATCCATCTGGCCAGGAAAGCAGACGGCCTGGCTGTGTTCAGAGCCACCACCGCTCGCTTTGGCTGACCAAGGTGCTCTGCAGGCAGTGGGATAAGTTGTCCTCGTTTCTTGGGCTTGAGATGGACACCTTGGCTGCTTTTGCTTGTGCCTGCCAATATCAGCAGGCACCGGAGTTATTTTTTGTATCGTGCATTATGGAGTAATGGAATTAAAATCCTGCAGTGATCACAATGACAGGTGTGATCAGAAAAATGTTGCCGCAGATCCCTAATGCACTTAGTGCTCAACTGAATGGGGATCCAACCTGCTTGCATCTGTCCATCTTCAAATAGCAACAGCCTCTGACAACCGCAGGAAGAAACTCTCTCAGTAGTGCTGCCAGCATTGAACATGGCCTTGCTGAAGGGAGAGCTCTCACTATCTGTTTGCTGGGGTTACATTGCAGGCTAATGATACAAAAGCGAACAGAGAAGACTTTCCTACTTATTTCTCTGGGACTATTCACCAAAATAACATCAGGCACCAAAGCCCAAACTGCTCCTGGTGAAGCACCAGCTCCAGTTCAACACACAGTTGCCATCTGTGCCGCTCTGTTGTCTGCTATGGTTGCCTTCATCTCTGCTGCCAGCCAGCCTGCGGTTGATTTAAGGGAGCTGGAGTTCAGCTTTGCTTCCTGATGTTTCCTTTTTTGGTGTTGGTAACGTGGAGCCAAGGGGCTGTGTTCAGGTGTCAGCAGTGCTCACAGGCTTTGCGCAGCAGTGAAATCAGAGGAGGGGGTTTTGGCCCTCGAGTTCCCCTTCCTGTGTTTGCGTTGTCTCTAAATTGCTAGCAGCCAGCATTCAGACAGTTTGGCACAAAGGTTTTCTCAGCGCAGTTCAGCAAAGTCAGAGTTGCTGTGTTGCAAACAGCTCTGCTGTGAAAATATTGTTTCAAACTAAGGAAACGGTGCAACCTGCTGATGGAAATCCTGGGAAGGCTTGTAGGTGTCACTGCGAGCTTCAGTTTCACTTGGATCGCAGTGGGATTTGTGCTTTTAAAACACTTCTCTTTCAAAAAACCACAGTGGAGTTGCTTCAATTTTTTGACCATTTGGGGAAATGGTCTCTGTCACCAGCACACAGTCAGTGTACTTATAAGGAAGTGCTCTATTGTTCGTTCCTTCTCTTTAGAGCTGTAATCACTAAAAAGCTGACATCTTTATGGGATGATGTGGTACCCAGCGGTGCCTTTGCAGAGTTGTTGCGATAAAAAATAAAATTAAAAAAAAAATAAATAAAGCTCTTATTTCTGAAGATTTATTTTCAAAGTAGATTTTTTTAAAATCTGTTTTTAGAAAGGAAGTGGTTGGGGCCAACCGTACAAAGGGATGGGATGCTTCTGCCTCTTGATTTGCACAGCAGCTGGGGGGGAGGACAGCAGTTTGAAGTTCTCTGTGTCAGGCAGAATCTCTTTTTCCTGAAGAGTAGCACAGTTATATATTGGGGTAATGGGTAAATCCAAGTAATGATTCTGCTAGAAAAGAACTTCACCTGTGTGCAGCAGAAAATGAGGTGTTTATGTGAGTTCCCAGGACAGCAGCCTGGGAACAGGCTGCTAACAGCTTGGTTTGGGTTCTTTGTACCTGATATGTAAGGAGGGTTACACTTTAAGTGATTTTAATATTAACATAAATGTTTTGTGTTTCTAGAAGGCAGGGGAAGTCTTAGAAGTGCCAATTTGACCTTAATTCTCAAAATTCAGTAAGGTCTTGACATTGCTAAATGCTTGGGATGGGATTTTTATTCTGGTGTGTTTTTGACCAACTCAGTAAGTCTCAAACCTGCACCCAGAGAGCTTCAGTGATTGCTTTCTTACATGCTTACTGCAGCTGAACACAGGCAATTCTGAATGCAATATTGTCTGCTTTGCCCCTCTTATCCACAGCAGGCATGTCCTTTTATACCGCATTGGAAAGCCATGAGCTGAACCATTGGCAGTGCCTTATGAAACACAGATGTAGAAATACTGCTACTTTGAAACATTCTTGGAATAAATTGATCTTCCTGCTTTTGCAAGTGCAGTTCTGCTGTCAAGTGTTAAACTGCTTTTCCAGCAGCCAGGCTGCTGTGCTGCAGGATGCAAAATCTCCTCATTAAGAATTTACACATCCTTACAATGAAGAATGAACTGAGCTGGGCCCCCAGAGAAATCTCTGATTGTAACACTGATAGCATCAGTGCAAACCTTCACACACTATTTGCAGCATGCTTAGTCAGAGAGCAGAGCAGGATGAAGTGTGCATCACTGAAGCATTGCAGACAAACCAAAAGCGAACTTCTCCAGCTCTGTGCTGAATTGTTGCAAAGTTTTGCTCAATGAAGACTGTGGGCAGTAAACTGCAGCACAGCCAGAGGTGGTGGGTGCCCTCCTTCTGCAGACCATGGCTGCTTAATTAGCCCTATCTATCAGGACATGCTGTGCAATCTGCCCCACGGCAGTGGGGTTTCCCTCACTTTACCAGCTGGAGGCACTATGTTGGGAAATGCAGTGCCATAGGAAGATGATGCTAGAAGTTGGAAGAACTCTGCAGTGTTTCTGTCACTTACTGCAGTAAATGATTCTGGAGGCTTTGCTTCCATGCTTTGCATGCTGTGAATTTACAGAAGTGTGGTGGTGTCTGAGTGAAGCATATTGGTGCAGTGAGCACAGCTTAGTCCTGCCCACAGCTCCAGAGGGCCCTCATCTGTGCATTTCTTATTGAGAGAAGTGGGTACTGCATAAGATTCGTGTTCTTAGCACAGCAATGAGATTTCATTATGCTCACTAGGCAGCTGCTTTCCTTTCTGTCCACTGATGGCACTGACTGAACCATCCTGTATCTTTGCTTGTGAAGCGGATCCAAATTCCAAGCAATTCAAGGGCAATCTGTTCTTGGTAACGTGATTTAAAGCCATTAGGTTGACACTAACATAATCTCCCTGGTTTATGCAGACCCTGATCTCCTCTCTGAACTGCGTCGCCCTAATCAGCAGTGCAGTGTGAAGGGAGTCCCTTAGCACTGTATGTGCATTTCTGGTAGGGTAAGCCTTGTTTACAACCTGCCATCAGCAGCACTCTGCCATGATGCAGCAGCTGTTTCCCTTTTGGAACTGTGGCTTATTTATGAGCTTTGAT